TTTGTTGATGATAACTAGAATTTTAGAAAATATGAACAATTGAATTTTTTGAGATATTGTCAATTTAGAATGGAGGCAGATACCCTCAAATATTTTTGTTTGGGGATTCCAAATACATGGAATGGAGGCAAAATAGTATTTAAATCATTGTGGATATATTAATTAAGGTTACGAGATTATTTTTAAATGATATAGACAGTTCATATGATAGACTTACAAAATTATATATAGATAATATTGTTAATTACACGGTGGAATTGGAGTATTTATTTTTGGTTAGTTGTAAGAAGTTATATAATTGAATTATATTGCACATATTCTTTTGATAGAATGTCAGACACTATGAAGACAAGTTCAAAAGAGAGGCTATCAACTATGGTTGGTTAATTAAAGGAGACTTGGATAATTATTTATTTTACTGTAGATTATTGAAGAGGCATGATTAAAACATGATTTGGAGTTGGTTTTGTTGGGATTATGTCATCACATTGTGAGAAATATCAATACTTATCAATCATTGAAGTTTAAGTTATATTTTATTTGAAATGGTGAACATGGAAATTGTGTAAATATTATCATTGGGCGATATAGAATTAAAGGGAAAATAACACCATATTGAGCTATCTCAATTGTTTTGCTGGGGATAAATAGAATTTTAGAAAATCATGAACAATTGAATTTTTTGAGATATTGTCAATTTAGAATGGAGGCAGATACCCTCAAATATTTTTGTTTGGGGATTCCAAATACATGGAATGGAGGCAAAATAGTATTTAAATCATTGTGGATATATTAATTAAGGTTACGAGATTATTTTTAAATGATATAGACAGTTCATATGATAGACTTACAAAATTATATATAGATAATATTGTTAATTACACGGTGGAATTGGAGTATTTATTTTTGGTTAGTTGTAAGAAGTTATATAATTGAATTATATTGCACATATTCTTTTGATAGAATGTCAGACACTATGAAGACAAGTTCAAAAGAGAGGCTATCAACTATGGTTGGTTAATTAAAGGAGACTTGGATAATTATTTATTTTTATGGAATTGACATATAAAAACTAGACACAAGTGACGATAATTGAGGTTTATATAAGATTGAGATATTCCAAGGACGTATGACGAAATGGGTGAAAGATTGTTGTTTGATCTTAATATGTAACCATTGTTATAGGAAAAGAATGTGATTAGAGAATAGTTTAAATTAGGACGTAAGGTGAAGATTTGGAGAATATGAAAAGTAGTATCTTGAACCCCAATTTGAAAATAAATAAATAAATAAATAAAATAATAATAATAATTGAGTTTTTCTAAGATTTGGAAAAAGGAAAAGATGAGAATATCATATATTGGTTCTTTGAAAGTTTGTAAAACTATGATGGGAATGATTAAATTTTGGAACTAAAAGTTCATTGGAGAAATCATTCAATAGAAGAGGTACTATAGAAAGTGAAGAGCAGACGTGTTCTCAAAATTTGTATCTTTTTTTTTGTACTTAATTAATTGAATTTCGAGGACGAAATTCTTTTAAAGGGGTGAGTTTTGTAATACTTTAATTTAGAAAAAAAAATTGAAAAGTCAAATATGTCATACTTTTATATAAAAACAAAAAAAACAAAAAAAAAGATTGAGGCGGTGGAGGATTGGATTGATATCAATCCTTTACAAAACAAATACAAATCCATTATCACATTAAAACATATACATACAGTGAAAAACAAAAACGTGCAGGGAGAGAGAAAGAGAAAAAGAGAAAGAGAAAAGAGAAAAGAGAAAGAAAAAAAAGGGAAGAAGAAGAAAAAAAATAGAAATTTTTGCCAACGTGTTAGAAATTAAGTTGTCTACATTATTAGGCTTGAATTCCTCAATTTTGAAAGGTAAGTAAAAAATTATTTATTGTCAAGTTATGTTTGATTTAATAGTTGTTAGATTATTAGATTAAATTCAATTTTATTGAAGTGATTAAGTATAATAAAATATGAAATTGAGAAAGATGAAAGAAAAACTAATTTTAGTGATTAAAGAGATTATAGAAATCGCTCAAACGTGAAATAATTAAGTTTGGGTATCGTCTATTTAATTATTGAAATTATTTAAAATAATTAATTGTTTATTTAAAAATTATATTTTATTTCAGGCGACGATACTGACATTAGAACAGCTTACCAATCGGGTTGATTTTGCGAACATAGTACTGTGAGTGGAAAAATATAAATATTTTAAAAGTATTTATAAATTAACTATATTGTTAAAGTATGTGCAATTATATGCAATTATGTGTTCGAATTACATGATTTTTATGAAAATATCTTTTATTATGATACATGTGGGATTTTAAAGATTATATATGTTACATTGTGAATTGGAATATGAGATATGATTTTGAGATCGACTAGAAAAAGTACCCGTGATTATATGTTTCTTCTAGTTCACTGAAGGGCCTTGGCCGTGTTCTATACTACACTGAGAGGTCATGGACCGGGGATGAGGGGGTCTCGACTGTGTACATATAGTTCACTGAGGGGCCTTGGCCGTGTTCTAAAATTGATTTTGAGAGGTCTTTGAGACCGACTTTTGTTCATGGAAGGGCCAAAGGCTCGTGGCGAAAGTTCTTAGCCGAGAGGTGGATTATATATTTCAGTCAGAGGGTACATTTTTGGTGGATTTTTCAGCACGTTTAATGTGATATGATTATAGCATGATTATCAGATGATGTTATATTATGATTTTGAGATGATATTTTACAACTTTATGTGAATATTTTACTTTTGGTTATAATTACATGATGTTATCTTATGAATTATAAAATGATATGAACTTCATTTTCGATAGAAATGTAAAATTGAAAAAGCATAATTATTTTTGAACTGCTCCACTCACTGAGTTATCAACTCACATATTTTCCCACGATTTTTCCTATAGGTGGAAATTGGTCATTTTTAGCTGGAAGAGCCTAATAATTTCTGAATAAGAGCCACACGATATGTTGAGTGTTATAATTCATATTGATGAAGCACGAAGTAAATGTTTTGGGCCCATTGCATTATGTTTTATATAAGCATTTGATTTTGTTGCATTTTTTGAAATAACTCATAGTCAGCCTTGGTGATAGATTTGACATCTAGTCAACATCTATCATTGGCGCACGTCACGTTTCGGGTCCACTAGGGTGATTCGGGACGGGTCGTGTTATTAAATACAATAAATTGACAATTACCAAGAAAACAATTTCTAGTTAATTCAATTTCTTGGAATTCGTTTTCTTTCCACCCAAATTCCATCTTTATAATCAATCGGACCCCCCAAGTGAACTTGTGACTGAGGGAACACATTTGAAAATCCCTATAGGAGAAGTATCTATTCCTCCATCTAATACTTTAGTATTGGTTGTATCTCTCGAACGTCCACACGGAAGCAAAACAGAGGTTATATAATAGTTGCTAGCGATGAGCATAACTTTTGTAAACAAAAGGGACATTGGAAATCTTAGTATCCTAAACTATTGAAAAAGCAGTAACCACAACAATGATCCTGTCGTCCCAATGCTAACATAGCTGCCACCATGCCTCCTGGTGACTCTTCTATACTTGGAGCACCACCTTTCTCCAATCTCATGTTGACTAATTTAGAATAGCAGTTTCAGAAGTTCTTAGCCACATGCTATGTTAGCCTCTACTCACATATATTTGTCATCCTAGAGTCTCTTAGGTATTTCTTCCCTATGGATCTTTAACTCAGGTGCTTCCAGACACGTCATCGAACTCAAATTTCTTTAATGACTTATGCCCTTCTAAATCTACTATGTCTATTATGACTGCTGATGGTACCCCATGCCCTTAGTAGGTATTGACTTTGTTAACACACATAATTTATCACTTTTAGATGTTGATTTTATTGACTTTGTTAACACACATAATTTATCACTTTTAGATGTTGATTTTGTTTCAGTTCTTACTTTAAATCTTATTTCTAGGGACTAAAAATTAGATTTTTAGTTGGTTTTGATAAAAGTTGATGAAATGTGAATTTGAAATGCTATGAGTCCCATGAAATATGTAATTAAAATTATTTGTTGACTTTGACTTAAATTTTAATTCCTACCAAACGTTATTTGTTTGTTTGTTTATTTATTATTATTATTTTGAGTTACTAGAATGTCATTGAACTTGGTCAGTGAAATATTAGCAGTTCTAGCTGGAATTTCGTTAAAGAGACTATGACATGGACACTAGAAATTCTTCGTGGCATGTCAGTGCTATTAACTTTGTTCATCAAAGACAAATCGTATTCCCAAATATTTTCCTTATTTGTCCCTATTGGACAAATCTATCAGCACCTAAAATTTTCGTTAATCATGTGAGCGGCCTATATATATTAATGAAATCAGGTAGGTAGTAATCCACCAAATCGAAGTTCAAACATTCTACAAGTGGAAGAAAGTTGAGTGATCAATGAACCAATGAAATTATTAAGCACAAATCTTTCATTCTTTCTCGACTTATGGATAAAAACGTAAAAGTTAAATGCAAACTTAGGGGGCGTATTCAATTGAGACTTTTAAAAACTTTTATAGATTTTTTAAAGTGGGTGACTTTCGTGAAATTTGTGAACTTTTAAGTGATTTCTTTGGATTTCTTAAGAATTAGTAAAAGTTTCCCATGAATTTGTGTAGACTTTTACTATACTTTTAAAGACTTTTTTTTTTAAATATTAAACATATATAATGTAATATGTTAAACAACTTCTTATGCATTCAAAATTTTCACAACTCATATAATTGAAAATGTAAAGTAATAAATTGTACTTTTCATGTCAATTCCCTCCCCCTCCCCCTCTCTCAAAAAAAAAAAATAAAAAAAAATAAAAAAAATTCAAGCTATATCAAATAGATTAACAAATAATCAAAATATAAAAACATAAAACTATTTTAGTAATGGAAAAAAAAAAAAAAGGGCATTCCCAACATCATTCCACATATCAGCTAGCTTTCTATGCATTAGCATTCTCTCTTTTTTGTTTTTGATCCTCAAAAAATGGTCCAAAGTCTTTTCTCTTATTAATTGAAGAATATGAAGAATCTTCGTTATTAGATTCAATTGGAAATTCATCAGAATGACACTCTTTAAGAAGAAAATTGTGTAATCCTACACAAGCTAATATGAGTTCCCCTGCTTGTGTACGATATGTAAATGGAGGAGCTATTTTGAAAATTATAAATCTTGATTTAAATATACCAAATATCCTCTCAACTACGTTCCCCAAGGAAGCATGACGAAGATTAAACAACTCTTCTGTATTTTCAGGGTCACGATCTTGACCAGCAAAATCTTGAAGATGATAATGGATACCTTGAAAAGGAGTTAAAAACTGACGTCAATTTGAAAATCCACAGTCTCCCCAAAAATATTTACTGGAACATAAAATACTTGTAAAGTTGACAAGTATTTATAAAACAATATGATAAATGAAAAAATGAAATAGTAAAGTCGTACCTTGTGGCACTTTAAGTCCATTTCTCCTTGTCAAAGTATCACTCAACACCTTAGAATCATGTGCTGATCTCTCCACCCACTAATCACGCATATAAATTACAAATCAAAGTTGCAAGCAGCCAAAACAATCTGAGAAATTGTTCCATGACGATTTCTATAATTGCTTGTATCACGTCTAGTTACCATTGCTGGAATATGGGTACCATTAATGGCTCCAATACAATCATAAAAATAATAAAACAATACAACGAAATCACGAGAATAATAATGATAACATAAAATAAAAATTATAATAAATCTTATTTCATCACTTACTTTGAAGTAAGGCTAAAATCTTGTACTTTTCCTTTTTTTTTCTTTTTTTTTTTTAGCAGAATGAATCCCGGTTTGACCATCATATCTACCGCAAATTTGTTTAATATCTGTAAAATTTGTTGAAACTTCAGCTAGTAGTGAAATGTGATCGACCAAAATTTTGACGAATCAAACAATATCGAGTATTTTGACCAACGAGGAGTAGAAACGTTGCAAGCATTTCTTCAATACAAATATACGTAGTTTCTTGTAAGGGTGTTTTTTCTATGATGATATTGCTTAATTTTAGAAATATATCCGGATATAAACTTGTTGAAATTTTCTGGATCCTCCTTTAATATTTTATGTATATAGTCATATTCATATCTAGTTTTTGGTCACCTAGTTAGTGAAAATGTAACACATGCACAACACATATGATTTATATGATCATTTATCACATAGAGAATTACTTGAATTGCCATCCATAAATACCGTTTGGTTTCTTATAATGCTTCTTTATAGTCATCTTCTTCAATCTCATCCACCTCTTTTTCATGATCTTCATGTATGTTAAAATTAGACATTATATATATGGAAGTACCTAAAAATAGAAGGAACAAAAATTAAATACATAGACAAAGAAAATGATAATGTCATGTAAAACAAATCAATTGTCATCAAATTAATAAAATATTGAAAAAATACAACCAATAAATAAATCTAAGAACGATTCAAAAATGAGTGTTATGCTCAAGAACTCAGACTTTCTTGCTTTGTATTAAGCAAATCAAAGACCTTGAAATGATCATCATCATCCAAGTTTGGGATCTCCTTGATAATGTTCCAACAATTAGGCTTTCTAGTGTTAGTTGATTCAATTTCTTGAGTGATCTTGTCAACTATACAAGCAAGTTTGTTTATAATGTCTGATTAAGTGCTTTTGTCTTAAACAAACTAGATTTTGCTTCAAATTTTGTTATACTTCATTTTCGAATTGATGGGGAAATCTTTAAACTTATAAGATCTTGTTTATCGGTTACTATAAATGTTTCAGTATCAGGATCATACACGAAGTCGTCTATTAAACTGTTGCTAACTCTTCTTTCTTCTATATAAAATGTTCTTGTATCAATATCACCCCCTAATGTAATTGAGTGTGCCCCAACACCTGTCCCACTTCCAACTGCAATTCTCAAATCCTCATAGTCTGGAAAGTGCATGTGCGATAACTTTTATCTTTGGGATGAAACTATTAATGAAAGAAATATTTATAAGTGCTAATATATGAAACATACACTTCACTAACCAATAACTCAAATTTCATATGTTTCTAAATCAAGTAATAAAGGAAGCTCACCATAAAGTAACCGTCCCATACTTCATCACTAGCAGTGAATTTCCTCGTCACATGATCCCATCCAAACCCAAAGTTATCCGCATAAGCTCAGAATACTTGTTGTATTGTTTTTTCATACCATTTCACACGACTTTTATACTGGGCATAAGTCTTTTCAACTCCAAGTTTTTGGTTAAGATGAGGAAGTATATGTTTTTCTACAGTTATCTTGCTCAACACACCATTACTATTATGCCAACCATGCGGCAACATCAACCATGAGTTTTAAAAGTTTATTGCTTTCTTCCGACGTCCATTTCAAATATTTTTCGTTACCTTTCCCTGAACCTTTTCATTTCCTTGTGTTAAATCTTCCATTAAAACTAGTGTCATATAATTAGAGAACAAATTATTAGGCAAATACAAAATGAGCAACAAAAAGTAAAGCAAACATAGCTACTTGAGCATTAAAGGACTTCCAAATTTGCCGCACAAAACTATTTTTTGAGGATGCAGGATTTCATATTTCATCCAAACAAATGGAAATCCTAGAAAGCAGCCCCTCTTATTCCTCATTGCCATGCAAGCACAAATTTTATAAAAGCATGCAATGATAAAAAAAACCAATCTGTGTTTCAAGTAAACTAATCCAAGACTCTTGTTTTTCCTAAATGCTATCCCATTCCATAGATCACTTGTTTCTGAAAACATTCTCACAATGATGCCTTCTGCTTTATCTGTATTGAAGTCAACAGTTATGTGGCAACCATTTATCGGATCTTTTTATTTACAAGTCATAGACACAAAGCTAATCCGAGTTCTAAAAATTGACATATCAATAAATCCTGGAGAAAATAGAGTTCTACCACTGCTCTCTTGTTTTCTACCTGAAAATTTTAAACATCGATCAACCATGAAAAGCTAAAGTATTGCCAGAATATTATTTGTACTTACAATAAAACCTAAAAATATCGAACAACAAGAAGCCCCAACCTTAATACACTAATCCGTGAACAAATACTCCCAGAAACATAGAAAATTTCATTAGCAAAAAAAGGTGATTTTAGTTTATATCTTTTTCTTCTTTTGTGCTTACTTTTGAAGGTATCATTTGCCATACAAAGGAAGGTGAGTCCATCGGATCTAAGGATGTGGAATATGTACAAATCCTGGGAGAAACAAAACATTCCATACTGATATTTCTGTGTCATCTGTTATAACTCAAGAAATTTATTTATTCAGTTTCATTTTGCTCCCAGAAAAAATCCTATAAATCCGATGACTAAATAACGTCGTTCTGACCACAACTTTGAGGGTACTTATATATCGAACTGTCTTATTTCTAGTTGGATACAAGCATGCAATGAACAAAGAGAAAAAAATTTGTTAAACAACGAACTTAAGAAAAAATAAATATACTTATTTTCGGCTAAATTGTATTCCTATTTTTGCATTGTCTATAGTTCGAAGCCACCAGAATTAATAAAATTTGATTAGCATTTTTTTTTAATACTTCAGAGTTTGAAGAAGTGATTCACAAAACCTGGACAAATTATTCTGACAGAATTCACTGGATTCAGCACATTCCAGCCTAGTATATCAATGTCTCGTTACAAATTAAACATGAAATTGGTTCAGAAATCAAATAGGTAGCACTGACCCCTAAACTCTCCAGAATCATCTTCTTCAGCTTTGCAATTTTGGAGATGGGTTTATCCATAAATCAAACAAAAAACTCATAGAGGGAGAGATAGAGATATACCTTGTTAATAAAGAAAAACATGGAGCTCAATTATTACCTGATTGGAATAGATGGAAGAGAAAACCCTATTTATGCTTCTATGAGAAATCTCTCGATGGATAAGATATTTTCTTCTGAGAATTCCTATTTATGTTTTCTACCAAAAAGTCTCAAAGTCTAATAAATTATAAATTCCCTGAAAGTCTTAGTTGAATACCTCAAAACTTGTAGAGACTTTTGAAAAGTTTCATTTGAATACTCCGTAACTTATAGAGACTTTTTTAAAGTCTATAAAAGTCTCTATTGAATACACCTAGACTTTTATAGAGTCTTTAAAAATTTCAATTGAATACACTGAAACTTTTTAAATCTCCAAAAGTCATTAAAAATCTCAATTGAATACAACCCCTTAACCTCTAATTACGAAAATCAAATAACCTAAACCTTAACCAGAATAAAAATCGACATTTCATGGATGAAAATATTGTTAATTTATAAGATAACTTTGAATAAAAATAGATTTTGTTCCAAACATTCACACGCTAATATTTTTAAGAAAAGGTAGATATATTTGAGGAATAATTAGTACCAAGAATATTCTTAATTACTGTTAAGAGAATCTTAAAAAATTAGTCCTATCAAGCTATAATTATTCAAATCTTCATCATCAAATTAAACATTACAAGAAAATGTCTTTTCAAATTTCTACAATGTGGGTCTTAGGGGGGTGTATTTAATCGAGACTTTTAAAGACTTTTAGAGATTTAAAAAGTTTGGATATATTCAATTGAAACTTTTAGAGACTCTCTAAATGTTTGGGTGTATTCAGTAGAAACTTTTATAGACTTTTAAAAAGTCTCCAAAAGTTACGGGGTATTCAATTGAAACTTTTTAGAAGTCTCTACAAGTTTTGGGGTATTCAATTTAGAGAGACTTTCAGGGAATTTAAAATTTTTTGGAGTTTCAGAGACTTTTTAATAGAGAATATAAATAGGATTTTTTCCCCAAAATCTCTCATCCATAGAGAGATTTCTAAAAAGAGTATGCTATTCTTATTTCCCTCTAGGTTTTTCCTCTATCTCTTCCAATTAGGTATTTCTTTGAATCTTTGCTATGAGTTTTCTTCAAATCAGATTATGGTAAATTTTCACTAGTTGATCTCTATCTCTCCCTCTAATTTCAAAGATTCGTTTTTAAGTGAATGTTGTGAATTCTCATAAATCCTCGATATCTCACATTTAACACTGTGAAAATCATATTTCCTTTAAAAAAAAAAAAATCCTCAAAAGTCTTTAAAAGTCTTTAGTAAAAGTCTCCACAAATCCAGGAAAAACTTTTACTAATTCCTACCAAATCCATAAAAATTACTTCAAATTTCACAAAGTCCATAAAAGTCACCCACTTAAAAAAGTCTCCAAAAGTCTTTAAAAATCCCAATTGAATACACCCCCCTTAATCTTTTTCTGGTTACACTATGATGCTAGATTACGTGATGGAGGTGTTAACAGTAGTTACATCAGAAAATCCCAAGCCTTAGTCGGCACGCTGCTTGCACTTTTCCCTTAACCCTTCGGATTCAATTCACCGGAGCGGGTAACTTTACTTTTATTGCTGGAGGAAGAGTTGTCAAGTTTACTTAATTCATTATTTGTAAATCACTTGCAACCCTTGATTTTGTTCATTCCTCATTGTAGGAGTTGGGAATTTACTTAATTATGCAAAGCAGAAAGTAAACAAATTTCAATTCCCACTAAGAATCTGCTTTGTATTTAAATAGAAATTGTGATAAAAATTATATATATATATATTTTTTGCAAAACCTGTAAACTCCTTTGCATTTCTTTTGTTCCAATAACCTTAATCTGCCTCCATAGTTGTCTAATTGTCCAGCCTTTAATGGAATTCCACGCAAAGAATAAGATTGTAGGAGAACCAGGGTTATTTGTTCTTGTGCTAGCAAGAATAAAATTCTCTACAAATTCTAAACTTTAGCTACTTATTTACATAAGCCCAATGGGCTTGGCCCATCTCCTGATCTGGTCCAATATTTGATTAACCCATTAATTAAATATGCTTCATGAATTAATTAATTTAATTAATTAGTTCGGGTCTATAAATAATCAACTCAATTAATTAATTTATCCAGTGCTTATTAAATTAATTAATTGGTAAATCACAATTTTCTAGTTCTCATTTTTTTTGTGACCCATCAAGTTTCCAATCACGATGCCTAACGACGTGAATTATTATTTTGATATAATCAAAATCGATAAATTAAAACATCCTTTTAATATATTATCAATTTACATTCCTTGTCCCAAATTGAAATCTAGCAATGTGTCAAGGCAACACATGTGACGAAAAATATCATGTGGTATGACAAAATCAAACTTGTTCGTTTACCGTAAA